GAGCGTGGATAGGGAAATCTGCCCATTTGTGCATTCGTAGCAGCATTTCCCCAGGCTACCACCAAAGATGCTGCTCCAAGACTCGGACCAGCCTCCCACTGCCAGCACTGGTGCACCCAGCCAGTGCACATCCCCATACGGGGGGATCAGGGCCTCTGGCACAAATGCCTTGGTGTCACACACTTTGCTTTAGAGAGCCACACGCCGCCCACCAGCCAAGAGGTGGTCATCGCACACGCGCTGCCTTAGCCCAGGACAGCCAGGTTTCCCTTGCCCTTGCATTACCCAGGTGAGACTCAGCTTTAAGGAGGCGGAGCTGAGGTTTGGGGCAGCTTGAGGGACCCAAAGGAATGGAATAAATTACAGCACTGTGGTTCACACCACCCCCTGCTAGCTCCTGGACAATGTGACTGCACACAGGGATACCAGTAACCAGGGCATGAGCCAGCATCACTCAAGCAAAGAGATTAAACCCACTGCCATCGCACGGATGTGCCCAAGAGAAACAATCACAGCCCTGCTATGGGCACATGCCTCCGCAAATAATCCCCCAGCAGTGAGACAGGGGGTGGTCGGGCTTAGGGTGCACTTAGGGCATGGAGAAGGATGCAGTGGCACGGGCAAGCAGGAGTAGCCGGGGCTGGGTGCTGGGCAGCTACGACCAGCAGGAAACCTGCCCTGCAGCCTTGGTACAGGCTGTGCTGCCGCCTTTCGCACGGAGGGTGGCCTATTTCAGCCAGTGGCAACCAGGAGCAGTTAATTAACTCTCACCTTATTTGAAATAATTGCTACGCAGAAGAGATGTGCGTCGGGCCAGTTAATGCTTGCCTTGCTCTGCAGTGTGTCGTCTCCCGGTGCTCTCCGACGGCCGGTGTTAGACAGCGTTGGTTCAGCCTACGGGACGTGTCAGCCTGTCTTCTGGAAGCATTTCTTCAAGATGGAGAGCCAAAAGTTCACAGTCTGAGAGGTCCCCCGAGCCTCCGCGCCACTCGCCGTGCCAGCGCGGCGTGTGCAGCCTGGCCTTGGCACCAGCAGGCTTTGCAGCAATCTGCTGTTTGGCTGCTCCTTCGCGCCAGCACAGTCATGACATAAAGAGGCAAGAAAATGAAATGGGAGTGGGAATTTATGACCGGATTTGAACAGAAGGAAGGACAGATCTTTGGAGACTTTCAGTTCAAGCTCATTTCTAAACTGCCTGTGCAAAGGAAGCATTTCCAGATTTTTCCAGGTCTGTTAAGCGTAAAAAAAGCTGGTGAGCTGACCAGCTGTATTTCAGCAGTTTGCTTCGGGCCTTGCTCAAGCATGAAAATACCATGAAACCCAAGAACGCAGGGGCAAGCCATCCATCGCAAAGCTTGGGAGTTTGGGTCAGGTCCAGGTCTGGGCAACCCCGGGCTGTTGCTGTTGCAGGACCAGTTCTCAAAGCTTATTTTGGTGTCCTTGGAGCTACGCTGGCTCAGAGCATTTTTACTGACCTCCCCAAAATCCAAGCAAACAGAGCTTTTTCACCATGTGAAGATCGTTGTGATTTATTGCAGAATAATCTACAGAAAGGGGGTGGAGGACTGGACAGTATCTAGGGCAATGGGGGGGGTCACAGTGTCCTGGGCAGGGGCTGAAAATAAATAATGGACAAGGGGCAAGAGTGCAGAGAGCTGGGACATAGAAGCAGTATGGATGCAAGGTAAAAGTCTTAGGTTCAGCACAGAAGGCTGTTGATTTCAGTGAGGTACTTGGGCCACAAGATTTAATCTAGTGCAATTAAAATATTGCAGAGAAACAGGCAAAGGCCATCGTGCAAGGTAAAGCGCAATTGCTTGCTGCTTTTCCCTTGATGTGCTGCAAGGAGAGCTGGCAGCCAGCAGCATCTCGTAGGTTCTGCATGTGAGGCAGGCCCAGGTCCTGCAAGCCCTTTCTGTATATTATTTCCCAATAAATCACAGCAGATCTTCACCCAATGGAAACGCTCTGTTTGTTCTTGGATTTAGTGGGGAGGCACGCTGGGGGCTGGACAGGCGAGGATCGAATGTGTTTGCACATTCCCGCCCCTTGTAGGATTGAATCCTTGTCAACCCCGTGATGGATGCACTGCTGAGCCAGTATATCTGATAACCCGAATCATTAACTAAATTGTTGCAGGGTCAGGGGGTCGGAGGGCCAAACACCATCTCTGCTCCTGATTTTACAAGGTTCCTTTGTCACGTTGTGTGCACGCGTAAGTCATTTACTCAGAAGAAAGCAATCCCCGAGCCCGCCCTGTAACAGCAGCCAAGTCGTGGGGCAGCCGGTGAGCAAGTGACAGGCTGTTTGCACAGAGCCAGGGAGAAAAGCCCGGGGGCAGCAGCGCGGCATATGTCATTTAGCCACCGGATCTGCAATATCTTCGGAAACGAATGCAGGATTTCCCCGTGCTCACAGCTTCGTTTGGGAATGGCGTTCGCCTTTCCTCGCTGCAGAAAGAGAAAGGGCACTACAGTTACACTGGTTTCCTCCACCCACCTTCCTCGCCTCCCTCCCACTCCCCCTCCTCCTCTTCCTCCTCCTCCAAGAAAGGCCATTTATGGGTCACAGCCTCCCTCCCCTCGTCATCCCTGCAATTTCTCACTGTCGCATACACGCACACCCAGCAACTTTGCTGGAAAATTGCCTTCTGTTTGCTTATGCCTGACGCACAAATGTGTGCAAATGTTGGGAAGGTGGCTACTTTCCCACATCGGTATTTCCAAATGTTAAAAAAATAATCAGCTGTGATGCTCTTACTCACCACGGAGGGCAAACTGCAGGGGAAAGGAAGGTACATGCCGATCTGCTCTCCCTTCACTGAGGCTCTTTTGCATAAGAGATTGCAGCAGCAGATGCAATGCAGGACCGACGCATCTCAGTGGAGATTTAGGGGTGTAAAATTTGCCCGGGCTTTCGATGCACCCTGCAGAGCTGCAAGCCCTGGAGCAGTCACACAGGTGATAGCAGGCATCAAAGACACCCAGGCCCATGGGGAGGCTAGCATGCGGTCCTCATGCCTGAGACCTGTTTCCTCCGCTCCCACCGCAGCCGTGAGGCAAAACCGCAGGGTGAAATTCCCCAGCCCGAGCAGCACCCAGCCGCAGCCTGCAGATGAGGAAGCGCTCCTTAGCTTTGGGAAATATGCCTGGAAAACAGCAGGGGAAAAATGTGTGATACTGAGTATGTTCATTTCAGTGACCAAAATACTTTTAGCTCATTCTTCAGTGTCACAAGAAGACATTTTTGACATAGCTTATTTAGACAGCTGCTTGCAAATATTCAGGTTGAATCCTTTCCTGCCAGACAAAAAAAAAGTGCTGTTTCTTCAAAAAATGGAAACGTTCTGTGGGAACAGAGAGCTTTCACCACAAAGTCACTTTGCAAGAGGTTCCACTGGTACGTTCCTGCCAAGGCCAAGATATTCTCTCGACCTTTTCTGAGAGCCGCTTTCCTTTTTTGTTTGTTTCAAAACAACTTTTCATTAATTTTTAATGTATATTCTATTACAACCAAGAGTGCAGTTTAGAGACGCCTGAAACTGGAATGCAAAGCATTATCGATAAAGAATGTTTTTCTGACGTCTGAAGTATTATTTTTTCCTTTGGAAGGGTATTTCAAACATTTTTTTATTTCAGTTCAGTTTGAAACCAATATTTGAAACTCAGTTAAGTTACAAAATCACATAATTTCTCCCCAGAGGAAATTCTTTTTCTATGTAGCTTTACTCATTTCCCTCACAGACCTAAGAAATGTCTCATCATTGGTGATGCTAATAGGTAAAGAGGAGAGGGAAGTGCATAGCTTACAGAAATCCATTCAAGGGCTGTGGGAAATGAGTCTACAGGAAAAGACATCAAACCCTTCAAAATATGGACTTTCTTAAATCAAAATGAGGCTGGTTTCCAAATACAGAGCTCAAGGATCTTCTTCCTGGTGCAAATATAGTGATATCCACTTGACTTTTAGCCACCAAATGATTGTGGAGAAAATTTCCTGGACCACATCTGTCAGGAGCGTGCGAGGCAGCAGGTTGCAGCAACCCAGTTAACTTCATCCCATGAGGCAGGGCTGCTCCAGGGAACATGGCAAGGGCCGTTTCTGCATCTGCCCAAATAATGCTGATACTGATTATGAACTGGGCTCTTATTCAGGAGGGCTGCGTTGCAGATTTGTGGCTGTGTTAACCTTACCTCTTCCTGGTCTTTGAAGGGAGAGAACACAAAGTGACCATGATGCGGGCTGGCTGGCCAGCCAGGCTGCAGTCCCTGTGGGTGTGCAGGGAATGGAAACACAAACCACTGGAGTAGGAGATGGATGGAGATAGAGCTGAGGAGGTATTCAGCTTCTTGACACACTGTGGTGGGAAAAAACAATACTGAAAAGGTGAATATTCAGAGCTGCTTCTCTTTGACTGCTCTTGGGTTGACTCTACTCCTACAGATGTCAAGGGAGGAGAGAGGTCAGAGTTAAGCACGCCTGGAAAGCCCATTACAGACTGCCCCCCCCCGCCAAACACACACCCCCCACATAGAGTGACCCAGTTGCAAGAAAAGTGACTCTCTGCAGAGGGGTTAGCAGCCAGAGAACCAGTAGAGGCATGCAGTGAAGATCAGATTAGAGAGGACCTAAATTCCTGTGCCTTGGAGCACTTGCCAAACAGGTTCTCTCGCCAGCACCACGAAAATCTGAGGTCCAGCTACCAGCTGCTGAGATGTCACTTGTCCAGAGTGATGACTCTCCAGGGACCTCATTACTATTTCGATCTGCTGGCTCTAGCTTCTGTGGATGTGGCGGCTGCACAGATTCATGGACACCACAGTGCTTCTGAAAAGTGATGTTGCTTTCTAAAGGAAATCCTAAAAATACTCCTAGCATCTCACTTTTGGCTGTGGGTTATTAGCCAACCCACAAGCACAGCTGATGGCTCATCATGGCTCATCATGGCTTGTCTGCCTCCTGACTCCAGTGCCAGGGCCAGTCCCACACCAGGAGACCTGAGCTGAGCAGGTGGGCATGTTCTGGTATCAAAGGCAGGCTGGGTGTCCCTCAACCAAGGCTGGCTCCAGACCCAAACAGGAGCTCAGACCCAAGAAGCCAGCTTGGGAGCGTCCCTGTGTGTGAGGGACAACCAAGCAGGTGCCCCTAGAAGGTCTCATTGATTTTTCCAGCAAGTAACTTAGCTTCTGGATACACAGAGGAAAAAGGCAGAAGGAAGAAGCTGCACCAAAGAACGGCCTCACATAATGGGTTTTTTTTGTACATTTTCCTCTCCTACAAAACACTCCCTCTCACGCGACATCCTGCACAAAGAGCCCTTACTCTGTGGTGGCTTACTCTACTGTGGATTCACACCTGGATTGTGTACCATTCCTATTGCAGATGTGCGGGCTCCAAATACTCTGCACTTGACCCCATTTTGTGGGGGTCACCACCTTGAGGTCACTTGAGAAATTTGGCACCTTGGAGTTTCAAAATTGCAGCTGACTTAGAGGTGTGCAGAAGCTGCTGCCATTGCATTCCTTTCCCTTGCAGACAGTAACAAACTCAGTTTGTAAGACAAATCATCTCAGACATACGAGCTGATTAATTTCGTCTAGGCCATTGCTACAGCATTTGCTGAATCACTGCACTTCTCTGGCTTTTTTATTATTTATTCATCATAAGGAGGGCAAGTTTCTCATGTTTGCAAGCCATGAACTGCTCTGTGGTATTCAATTAGCTTTGTAGGAGAAGACTGCATCATGTGGTCTCCTGTCCAGATTAAGAGTCACAAATATTAAATACTCCTTCTTCTGATGATTGCCTGATTTATGGCAGGTTAGTAAAATGTATGAGAAGTCCTGACAAGTGCAAAGGCTTTGCTTTTTAAAGGAAGAATGAGTGAATGACCAAACAGATCTCTCTTTGTGACCCTTTAAGTGACATTCCCATTGCTGCGTGGCTAGGTGGATGAAATGGTAAATTGCTCATCTCTGCAGTCAGCCAGCTGTGGGCAAATGACTCTTAAATTGTCATGCGAGATGCAACACTGCACGGAGGGCAAGAAAGCACTTCCTGCTTAGCTAGTAATTCACTTGGATGAGGTCTCCATGAATGGCCTATGAATTCCTTGAAATGACTGACCAAGGCGTAGGGGGGTTTTTTGGTTTGTTCTTTTGGTAGTTCTTTTAGTAGTTCTTTTGTTTTTGTTTTTTGTTTTTGTTTTTATTGTCAGGATTTCAGGTGAATTTTTATGGGAAATGCCAGCTGTGGCTCATGTTTCTGACCCCTGATGAACTGAAAAAACTCTGCAAAGAATCTGCATTTGGGCAGGACTTTCTGTAGAAGGAAGGACAATTCAGTAGGGCTCAATAATTGGGCCTAGAGGGTAGAAATGGGGTTTAGTCTTCCTGGCTGAACTGAGCTGCTTGGGGACCCACGTGAAAGACTAAAAAACCCAGTAATTTCTCAGACAATCCCATGTGTTTACATGAAGTCACTCTGTCAGTGCCAAAAGCGACAAGCCATGAGTTTGGTCTGCCTCGTGGTCCTCTGGTAAAATAAACATTACCATGGCTCAAGACAGGAGTTAGTCCCTACCTCTGGCTCCAGGATATTAACATGTCATTTTTCCAGCTCACAACCACTCAAGACACTGAGGGAACATGAAGTTGTGCCATTAGCTTGCTTGGAGGCTAAGGAAAAAGCAGACTGGAAAACCATAGCAGGCTCTTGTTTGAATGCCATGAAGTGAGCAAAGACCGGCAGGCTAAATTCAAGTGAATCTTAAGGTGGTAGGCAAACTGTAGGGTATGTTTCTGTCCTGTAATGAACTAAACATAACTCTGTGAAGGAGCCGTGGCTGGACAATGGTTTCTGTAGAAGAAAAGACATTTCAGAAGTGTGGCCCACAGTACAGATCCACTGTGATATTTGCCTGGTTCTTATATCCAAAACCTGAGGCAAGGCCTACTTTGGATGTTTGGTCAAGATTTGAGCTCAGACTGGGGGTTGGGGTCCCTTTCGACTTCTTGATTTTTCTGTCCTAACTGTTGCCTGGCCTGGCACTACCTAACCAGAGGGCTAGTGGGCTTTTCTGCCTTGCCCTGGTGTAAACCACAGGTGCTCCTGGCTCTTCTCCAACCCAGAGCAAAGTCAAGGGCTGGCATGGTGGGGTGAAGGCCCTTGGGCTTTGCCCTGGGAGGAGGGCTTGCCGTCCACACTGCACATCATGGGCCACACAGATAGGGGTGTGTGAGAGACTTTCTTTGGGGTCTTTGAGCCCCCTTCAGCTAAAAAATGCACAGTTGGAAGGAGACCTCTTTCTCTGGTGAGAAGCTCTGGCAGTCAAGGTCCTACCTCCCTGAGCTTTCGCCCTTCTGGAACTTGGCCTTTGAGGGCAATTCCGGTGTATGTTGTTTCCCTGTGACTTGGGCCTGGGCTCAGTGGTTTGACCGTAGCCAGCAAAGCACTGTAAAGCTCATTTTCAACCTTAGCTCTCCCAGATGCTGACAGCCTGGCATGGGCTTATGGGCACTGCTGACTAAGGATGGCCTGAGCACTTCTCTAAATGCTTTGGGGCCCTGGGATCTAAAAGAATTGCTAAAATCTGGCATGAATAATCCAGATTTCATACACTGCCTCATTTTCTTCCAGCATTCAGGTGCTATTGGTGGGTTTTTTCCTTTTCTTTCTAAATGCATTTGAACTGCTCATATTCTAACCACTCAAATCTGCTCTTTTTTCAGCTTTTGAGTCAATACCCCTCTGTCAAAATACCAGTGACCACCTCCTTGGAGCATTCCTCCTGGTGTTATCATCAGACATGTCCCGTCTGGTCTGGCTGGTCAGGGATCCCAGCTGGAATGCTAACCAGCATGTCCAGTGCTGTACGGGGCCCTAAGCTGCCTCTCTGCCCCCATGTT